CATCACCAATAAATGCATGGGCAGTGGCAGCAATGTTGCAATGCCTTATATGTGCTTTAAAGGAGCTGAAGTCTCTATAGGAATGATTATTTTTTACCTTTAAATATCAGTGCTTGATATGTATCTTGTTCTTGGGTTTTGTTATGTAACATGCTCATATGTGATGTGTCTTGAAAGTCAACAGCTTCTCTGATTTCTGTCCTGTGAAAACTGGAATAATTTGATAGGTTTGAGTAACCTTGTATGGTAAGGGAAACTGCATTAAGATTCAGACATTTATAAGGAATTTGAGGTTTGAGATGTTCTTATGGATGAAGTTGTGGGGAGAAAAGTTTGGACAAAAACAAAGAGCAGTTCATCAGCCCATCAGGCAAAGGGAAATCTCAGGTGATGGGCAGGATGTTAGTAGTACTATAAAGCCGTTTATTCTGTCTACACTTACAAAAATAAATTGTGTACAAAACATCTGACCCACATAAGGAGAAAAAATCCCTGTGATCAAATCAATTAACCAAAAAAACCCCACTAAAATCCATTCCTGGCCCACATGATTATGCAATTAGAGAAAACTGCACAGTAAACATGAAAAAGAAAAAAAAAAAGAAGAAAAAAAAAAGTATGGTTTTGGATTTATTTCTGATTTCTGTGTTGGTAATAACTCCCCTTCCAAAGCTTTTACAAACTTCAGTAGAACTAAGAGCTGAGTTTTTGCTCTAGACCAACAGTTACTGTAAAGAAAAGAATAAAGTGGGCTCATTTCACTCTTTTTAGCTCTATAGCCCATTTCAGAAATGTCTCCTCAACTTAAAATAGTGAAAGTTTCTGGAACTGCTGGTACACCTGTGACTGAAACAGTCTTTAAATGCACCTCTTAGCTGAAAGATGTGCTTGGTTGTGAGTGTACTGGCAGGAGGGGGGGGGGCGGAAATAAAAAAAAAACAAACCATATATAAAGGGATATATATTTAACATTGGGTTTCAAAAAATGCAACTTATTTTCACTTTGTAAACTTTTCTTGCAGAAATACGAAGCAACGCAGGCACTGTGCTATGTATGACAATGAGAAATGGCAGGTTCCTATTGATTCAACACAGTTAGAATCACATTAGTTATCAAATGGGACTTGAGTACTTGAGTACTGCTAACAAATAAACAACTTTTTTTTTTTCTATTCTCTACTGCCCAAAGTCTCCAAATACATATTGGTCTGGTATGCATTTATTGTTCCTGCTACAGGTGATACAAAAAAAATAAGTTTTAGATACAGACCTGTTTTTTTTCTTCTCCTTCCTTCAGGCTGTTGAAGAATGCACAGAATGAAGTTAATTTCAAAATCTGGTACCAGAAAATACTGGCTGCACTCCAATTCTGTGCTGGAAAAGTCCTGAACAATGAGTTTTCTAAGGAGCGGAAACTTATCAGAATTCTGGAAGACATTGCCAAAGAAGTAAAAGCTGCCATTGACCCAAAAAGAAAGGTTTGTTAAAAAAATCTCCCTTTCCATCTAAGTTCCTTCAGGTTATTTTTTTCCAAGGTGACACTTCTTTCCTATAATGCCCATTACATAAATAAACCCAAAAGAATATTAAATTTGTAAAATTCTGTGTTGTTTTGAAAGCAAGTAAAACACATGTATTTAATGGGACAACCCTTATCAGTATTACTCTTGAAGTCAGCAGATCTTTTAAGCTGTAGGCTGTAGTGACCATGACAGGGTCACTATGAATTCAGGATCCTTAGGGCAGCAAAAGGAAGGAGGGAAGCAAGGTCACTACCCTCAATTTCAAGAGAGCAGATTTTGGTCTCTTCAAGGATCACTTCCTTCATGCCCAGGAGCTGTGTCCCAAAGAAGAGGAAGGCAGGCAGGAGAGCCATGAGGCCTGTATGGATGAGTAAGGAGCTTTGAGACAAGGTAAAAACAAGGTGAACAGAGAGTGGAAGCAGGGCCAGGTGTCCTGGGAGGAGTACAGAGAAGCTGTCAGAGAACCAAGGGATCAGGTAAGGAAAGACAAAGCACAGAGAGAATTGGATCTGGCCATGGATGTTAAGAACAAAAAGAAAAATTCCAACAGGTATATCAGCAGTAAGAGGAAGTTGAGTGAAACTGTGGGCCCACTTCAGAAGGAAAATGGAGACCTGGCCATGTGGGACATAGAGAAGGCTGAGGTACTCAGTGACTACTTCAACTCAGTCTTAACCAGCAAAGACTCTGGTCACACCATCCAAGTTAGAGAAAGTGAAGGCATGGACTGTGAGAAGGAAGATCTTCCTACTGTAGGAGAAGAGCAGGTTCTTGACAGGTGTACAAGTCTATGGGACCTGATGAGATTCATCCATGGCTTCTGAAGGAGCTGGCCAACAAAGTTGCAAAGCCTGTGTCCATCGTATTTGAAAAGTTTGCAGTGTGGTGAAATTCCCACTGATTGAAAAAGGGGAAACATCACCCTCATTTTCAAGAAGGGAAAAAAGGAAGACCCAGGGAACTACAGACTAGTCAGTCTCACCTCTGTGCCCAGTGGGATCATGGAGCAGATCCTCCTGAAGACTCTGCTAAGGGATGTAGGAAGCAAAGGGGCATTTGGTGACAGCCAATACTGCTTCACCAAGGACAAATCCTGCCTGACAAATTTGGTGGCCTTATACAATGGGGTCACAACATTGGTGGACAAAGGAAGAGTAACCAACATCATCTACCTGGACCTGTGCAAAGCCTTCGACACTCTCCCTCATGACGTCCTGGTATTGAAATTGGAATTTTCACCACTCGCTGGGTGATGAACTAGCTGGATGGTCACACTCAAAGAGTGGTGATCAACAGCTCAATGTCCAGATGGAGACCTGTGACAAGTGGTGTTCCCCAGAGGTTGTTATTTGGACCAGTGCTATTTAACCTCTTAGTCAGAGTCATGGACAGTGGCATTGAGTACACAGCAAGTTTGCTCATGACACCAAACTATGTGGTCTGTTCTACATGCTGGAGTGAAGGAATAGCATCCAGAGGGACCTTGACAGACTTAAGAGGTGGGCTCATGTAAACTTCATGAAGTTCAACAAGGTCCTGCACCTGGGTTGGGGCAACTGGAAGCACAAATACAGGCTGGGTGGAGAATGGATCGAAAACAGTGCAAAGGAAAAGGTCTTAGGGGTGATGGTGGACGAGAACCTCAATAGGAGCTGGCAATGTGTGCTTGCAGCCCAGAAGGCCAACTATGTCCTGGCCTGCAACAAAAAGAAGCGTGGCCAGTGGGTCAAAGGAGGTGATTCTCCCCCTTTACACAGCTCTCATGAGATCCTGGAGTACTGTGTTCAATTCTGGATCCCCCAATGTAAGAAGGACATGGAGCTCCTGGAGAAAGTCCAGAGAAGGGTCACAAAGATGATCTGATGGCCGGAGCACCTCTCCTGTGAGGACAGGCTGAGAGAGTTGGAGCTGTTCGATGTGAAGAAGAGAAGGCTCCTGGGGGACCTTATAGCAGCCTTCCAGCACCTGAAGGGGCTACAGGAAACCTGGGGAGGGACTGTAGTGAAAGGACAAGGAGTAATGGGTCAAAACTGGAAGAGGAGAGATTTAGGTTAGATGTTAGGAATAAATATTTAGTGTAAGGGTGATGAGACACTGGAACAGGTTGCCCAGGGAAGTTGTGGAAGTCCCATCCCTGGATGCATCCAGGGTCATGTTGGATGGGGCTCTGAGCAACCTAATCTAGTGGGAGGTGTCCCTGGCCACGCAGGGGGGTAGATGATCTTTAAGATCCCTTCCAATTCAAACCATTCTATGATTCTATGATCAGTGGCTTCTCAAAGAGAGTTGGAGGTGGTCAGAAATAATAACAACAAAGCTGATTAACATTTGACTGAAAGGAAGACTCACATTCAGGATCTCATCTCCAAATATTTGGCTTCTGTGGAGCTGCACTGTTTCTTGAAAACTTTGTTAAAGGTTGTCCTTGACAAGCTGAACATTCTCATTTCTTAGCAAAGCCAACCATAATTGACTGTACTCAGTGTCTCAAAGATAGCATTCAGCAATTAATACCTTACCCATATCTGCAAAGATGCATTTCTGACAGTAGGAGGCTTGCAATCGTCTTCTCCAGCGGGTGAAGCTTTTATATTGTGTAGGTACATTTCCAATTCAAAACTGCTAATTTTCCAAGACAGCTGCTGTTACTTACCTGATGTGTAAAACTGTTTCTTGCTGAGATCTCAGCAAGATAGACCAGAAAGGCAAATAAAAATATACCTGCCACTGCTGGTTATAATCAAAGTTAGGAATTCTTTTTGCCTTGTTAAGGATTCAAAGATTTCCAAAGGATTTTTTCCAGAAAACTGTGTAGCTACTGAGAGCAGCAAGGCAAACATGGAAGTAAAAATTAAAACTATTTGTGAAGAGAAAAATCCATGTCACAAAATGTAACAATACATTATACATTACTGATGCATAGTTCAGATTTTAGAGATTAATCTCAGGGCTGCAGTTACTGTGATACTGAGAAACTCCCAAACCTTGCGGTTAACACACCTGCCGTTAGGCGAGGGAGTTCACAACATTGAGGCAACAAGGTGTCCCACAAGGCAAAAATATATGAGAAGCAGTAGAGCAGATTCAAGGCTTATTAGCCCTTAATGAAGGCTATTGAATCTGAACCTTCATAACAGCATGAACTGATAGTGCATCTAGGCTGTAAAAGTATGAACATGGCATAAAAATCACAGTCTTATTTGTAATTGACTGCACCTCAGTGCGACCTTGTTAGCTGTGATGAGGTTACACGGATGCTACAAGCTTCAGAAATTGTGCTGCTTGTTTAAAATATATAAAGACAATAAACAGCTTAAAAGCTGCTGGTATGTTCAGTCGTGTTGACAAAAGGATTTGCATGTTGCAGGAGGTGTTAAAGGTAGAACTCAACAGACTTCAGCAGTTCTTCCAGGAGGTGAAGTTTTGCCGGCTTCCCCTGAATCCCGCGCTGGTTGTCCAAGGCATAGACGCAGGCGTAAGTCTAGCTCGTGCAATGGATTATTTTTTAAATTATTTTAGGGCAAAGGGGGGAGGGAGTGAATGGCTGCATTAACTGGGAAGTCATCTTACTTGTATTAAGCATAAATCATCTGGTACATGATAACCAGCCTAATCCCCTTGAAAATGGGAGCCTTTGGTGAAGGCAGAGGTGAGGAGGGCTGGTGGGGTGGGTGTTGCATGCATGTCTCTCCTTGAGCAGCAGCAGAAATTTCAAACTCTGAGCAGCCTGCTCCCAGCTCAGCCATCCTGCTGTCTTGTTGGGTTAGGCAAGGGCACCTGGCTGCCCTGAAGCTGAGACCTAGTTACCATCCTGCCCAGGTAGCTCTTGGTAACAAGTTTTTCTCATCTGAGACTCTCCCCAGACATGGATGGGAGCAGCTAAAGCTACCTTTCTTTTTTGCTGAGGTGAGACAAAGCACATGACTGAGAATTGCTAAAATACTAAGTAGTCATAGTAACTTACCTGTGTCTATGACACCTTTTAAAAATAACTTACAGGAAACAGTGCACTTTAGTGTAGACTTTACTTTGAGCACAGTACTGAGACTCAGTTATTCATGGTTTAGAAATGTTTCATAAACAATATTATGCCAGGAATAAGCTGTTCTAGCTCTGTAGAAGTAAAACGTATCCAGCAGCAAGAGAAAACAAATCTGACGAGCCATATATATTACCAGTTATAGCTGCCTAATTACAGCAATTTGTGCACTATTTTTGTTCTCTGGCTCATTATCCACAGTGGACCTGATTCTAAGAGGTGCTGGTCCCTTCAATTGCCTTTGACCTGTGATTCTCCAAGTAATTGCTATTCAGGCTTGATCTCACTGAGAACAGAGGTCCTCCAGCACCCCACAGGCTTGGGCCAATTGTGCATGATGTAAGAAGAATTTGAAGCCTGCTGCTTTTCACTGCTTTTAGGCTTTTTGGAAAGAATGACTAATGGGAAGGTATCTCACCATACGATTATGCTACTGATACTGCACCAGCTTATCTGGACAGACACAAAATGTTTAAATATAAGTATCCAAAGAGTGATTTTTGTTCATTTTTCTTATATTGTTATAGGCCATTATCTTGCTATAAATATATGCTGCTTATTGGTAGAACTATATGTCTGTATAATCATGCAAATTAGAATTTTTAAGTGCTTATAATTACCTAAATTTGATCCATTTTGGTGCCATCTATTGATTTTACTAGAAGCAGCCACTACTTCCAGCTCTATAGTATTATCTCACAATAACCTTTCAAGCACTTATTGAGACATTTCAACTGGCAAAATTCCACAGGGGGTCAGGATGTCATCGTCAATAATGACTAGTGAATGTCCCAGAGGTGTGATGTGGCTAAGAGAATATTTGATGCTTCTCCCCTGCTTTGAGATGCTTAGATGAAAAGCAAGAGACAGCTGTGTCTACTAGTGGTTTTGTTCAAATTAGCCTCCATTAAACTCCAGCCAGTGGAGACAGCAGTAGCTCCTGTGGGGTGCTCATTATTTCTAGAAACCAGGACATTAATTTACCGTTGTCTCTGGTTGTTTTTTTCAGTGGGTTTCTCCCTCCCCTTTTTTTAATGATGATAATAATACCATCCTAACTTGCACATGTTTGCAGTGCATGGCTCATTAATGCTTTTTGAAGCCCTTTGAGGTCTTCAGGTGGAAGGAGCTGCAGGGCATGAGAAGTCAAAGTTTATGTTTAATTAAGATAAATTCCACATAAAATAAATTGTGATTTTCAGAATTTCTTGTATCCTCAGCCAGAGAGAGGTCACCAAAGAAATTACTAAGTTCTTTGCTTCCATAGAGATTGCATTATTAGGCTGCCTTTTTTTTTCTCCAGAAAATAATAGGACCAAAGGCTTTTCAGTGCTTTACAAATTCTCATTAGATCCATCTTATGTACTTCGTCACTCAGTCCCAGTCAATGTTTATCATTAACAGTCCTAGGTGAATTTGAAAAAGTTACTAAACAAAATATTATCCTTGCATATCATCTGATTATTGAATGAAAAAGAATTGTCTGGAAAAAAGAATTTTTCATTTTCCTCACCAAATTAGACAGTCAAAAATATAAAGAACTATTTATTTTTGTTGTCAGGGCTACTGAGTAGTAGTTAAAGAAGGTACCTTTTTCAGACGTGTATTAGCCTGCTGTTTTCTTTATGTGACTCTGTTGTTCTCTCTTCTTCCCTGAAGTCGTGTTCGTATTTTACATCCAATGCTTTTCCATTGAAAATCTCTTTCATCAATGCAAATGCTCCAAGTGGAAATGTCAATGTTATTTTTAAGGTATGTTCTTCTAATCCTCAATTCCTTTTGTACGGAAAATGTTGATTTGAAATTCACATAGTTTATGTTTTTAGCTTTGATCCTGAGAGTTTTAAATTTGTCTCTGTTGTTCACTTTTCCCAGTGATTTTTGACACTAGAAGTTTTAATGGAAAATGCTGAGGCAATGCACTGGAGTATGAAAATTCTGATTGGCAGAGAATCAAACAACTTGCAATTTTTTTTTCTTAGTGGAGTCAGCCAGGCTAAAATATGGAGTTTATATTTTAAACTTAGTTTATTTGTCAAACTGGAGTCAGAGGGCAAGTCTCAGAGAAGGGAGAGTTCAGAATGACTCAATCCAGTAGCCTTGTCCATGTGTCTTGAACAAGTGAAAATACTGGAGTATTTGACACTGTATTTGCTATAGAGAAATGATGCTGCCCCTCTCAGCCCCCCAGGGGGAATGGGCTGAGGAAGAGGGAAGCAGAAGGGACAGCAGAGGAGCTCTGTCTCATTGGAGTTACCTGGAGTAACTGACTGAAAATAAGCTCTTGTTTATTTTCCAGCTGTCACCTTCAGAGCTTCAGAATCAGGACAGTGCTGTATCCAGACACAAAAGACAATGCATGCAATCTAGAGTTGCTTTTCAAAGAGCAGCAGACTTTCATAGCAGTGGATACCATTTTTAGAAAACACAGAGATTAATAAAATGGCTGATCGATACAAAATGGTCAGTGTTGCAAAGGACATTGTTCATAGAACTTTTGCAGTCTGATGTTCCAAACCACAAGGCTAAAAATTGATAAAAATAAATTAAACAAACAAATTTTTGGCCATCTTGAATTAAATTGGCCTTTAGAACAGCTGTGATTCTCAGAATTAGAAATATGCTTTCCAGGCATTAGTTAGGGGTAGGCTAGCAATGTTCAGATTTTCTGAACATTTAGAATGCTGATTCTTACGATGATACAGTTATCATCATAAAATCAGTGTAAAACAGACAGGTTTCTACTTTTTTTTAGCAATTTGAGCAAGTGCCTGCTCATGGGGCATTTAAACACTTGTACTGGTTCTACCTAGACAGTATTTTCCCTGCCCAGTAGCATTTAACAACCAAGCAACTGTGCAGTTGCTATAGAAGTATTATAGCTGACATGACCTTATCCTGTCAGCAAACCATTGCATTAGTGTCTTTTATTTGTGTTATAATTGCATTATTTGTTCATGATGGATAATACATACATAAAATGATAAGCACTGATACCATTCTGAATTGTCTACTAACTGTATATTTGAGAGGAGGGAAGGTAAGTGGAGGGAATAGGTCTTTTTTTGATGTTTAGGTATAAGAAGAATTAACTGGGGTCAAGATTGCCATTAAAGATGTTTAAGTATAAGAATTAACTGGGGTCAAGATTGCCATTAAATGAAAGAAAATGGGTTTGGGTTTTCTTTTTTAGAAGATGAGTTTATGTCTCCTTAAGTACTCATTTAATGGCAGTAAATGTATATGCTTCTGTAAAAAGGATATAATAAAAGAATAAAGCATTTACAAATAGCAGTAAAGGTCACATGTTTTTTAGATGAAGGAGGGAAGGGGAAACAAAAAAAGTGGGGCTGTTGTTTTCACAGGCCATTTAGTCAGCCATGGTTGAAGATAATCTCTTCATTACCTCTTGTGGCTACAATTAAAGCCCCATTTTACTAAGATTATTGTTTGACCAACTCCATGGGGAGAGTAGTCAACACAGCATCACTGTTTGAGACTGAATATGAATCATGTAATGGATAAAATATAAATTCATTATAAAATTCCCCTTCAACCTGCTGCAAATATCACATTGTGAAGCTTAACATAAGACAACTGCTGTCATTTTTTGAAAGGGATCTAGCATTAGGTAGACTGTAAAGTGTAACTAAAATAGGGTCCTACCTAAAGATTACATTTTCAAACTCTAATAATTCCATAGGAATTATAAGCAGAAAGGCTGCAGTTAATCAGGGAGCATTTGTTACCATCTCAGTGGCTGCCAAGGCCATTTCTGCCTATGTGCGCCATTTACAATGTCCTCTTCCAACACAGAAAGATTACTAGCAACTTTGAAAAAAAAAAAACAAAACATGAGGGATTTACTGTAAAATGTACATAGCTATTTTGGTGAGGAAATAAAACCAAATTAGATAGGAAGTTACTTCTATCTGGTATCAAAGGAGAAACCTGAATTTCTTGTGCACTTTTCACAGGTCGGCGATGATCTACGTCAAGATATGCTGGTTCTGCAAATTGTTCGTGTGATGGACAACATTTGGCTCCAAGAGGGATTGGATATGCAAATGATCATTTATAGGTGTTTATCTACAGGAAAAGGCCAAGGTCAGTTTTACATCATGAAAGTTACTTGTGTTACATTATTCATATCTCAGGTAAACAATAGTATACAAGAATCCTCTCTTTACTTTTATTTTCATGGGTGTCTTATGTATCTTCCCCTTTGGAAAGAAAAAAAAGCTAACAATTACTGTTACTCTGGCCATAAAATGTGTACTTGTCTACTTCAGGCTGTTAATTTTATGTATTCATACCATCTCTCCAGAAGAGGTACAACAAAACTCATTTGATTTTGTAGAATACTAGAATATTCCAAAAGCCTCAACACCATCAGCTTGCACCAGATTCTTAAATGTAGCTTCACACATTAAAAAAGTGCTTTGTAGAAAATTGAGCATCACTAGTGAAGTTTTAATCCACTCTGATCCTGCACAGATGCTGAAATGAACCTAGGTGGCTACAGAAAGTACCTGTAGACAAGTGATGACAGCTTTGCAGTGTTGAATTTGAAATATTACTCTTGCAGTTTATGCCACTTATAGGAGGCCTGGCAAATCTGAAAGCTTTATTTCTCTCTTTTATGGTTGTTATAGCAGAGCTGTAGCATGGATACCAATTGCTGGCTAAAGAAATTGACAGACAGCAATAAGCTTACTATTTTTTACAGACTCTCCAAATCTTTTACTGAAAATAGACCTTGCACTAATAGAAGACTGATGTATCCATATTGCCTGCTGTACAAAAGACAACAACAAAATAATTATTACTTTCTGAGCCACAATGAGGAAATGAGACAGGATGAATGATCAGAAGGAGCTAGGAGCAAGTATAAATGAGTTCATGCACATGAAGGGTGATTAAGGTGACCTGAAAAAGATTCCTCCCTTCTTAGTAGAGGTGGGAGAGAAAGCTGGAAGACTATTGCCTCAAAGGCAAATAATACAAGAATACCATTTCAGAACGTAATCATATAGTTTTTCTTATAGACTAACAATTTCATTTTTACCAAGAAAGATACAGAGATCATCTGCAAACAATTCTGCCTGACAGTTTCTTCATTTCAGCACCATAACAGCAGCAAACCTTCATTTCTGACAGATTTTCCTCACAATGTCTTTCCTTATGAACTGCAGAAGTGTTGATATAAATGATATACAGTTAATGATTAAAGATAAAAAGACAAAATGACATAGTTGTGATCACATAGGACATGTACTAAAGTAGCCTTGTGCACCAAGGTCTTCCAAGTCCTAGGCTGCTGACTTGCTCTATGGGAATCTTTTCTGCATAAGGGAGATAGGAATTGATAATGTCATAGTCATGGGGAAAAAGAAATCACTTTTCATAGAAACATGAAAAGCAAATAAAGCACTGGTAGGATGCCATTATCCAGGCATGGTATAATACAGGAGCCTGTCACCAACTGGAATTGTTAGAGAAAGCCTTTACTGTAATGCAGAGTTGTGGGGTGACGTGCTGGGACAGGGACAGAAGGCCGGCAAACCAGGTGTCAGTTCCAAAAAAGGAATTAAGTGCGTGCAGTAGAAGCAGAGGATTCAGCTGAAGCATTGCAAGATCCTTGGCTTCTCTCTGCACTTCTGATTCCCAGTTTGTGTCATCTTGGATCAGGCTAATTTCTGCATAACCTAGTATCTTTTCTCCCAGATGTGATCAGCGTCATATACTGCATAAAAGTTTGTGTAGTATTCTGGACAGTAAACATATATGAAATAACTTTATAATTAATAGCAAATTTCCTAATTTTTATTTCTTTTTTTGTGTTCATGTACATATTCCACCCACTTTGAATCCTGCTAAATTGTAGGCCTTCTTGGTACCTTCAGGCACTTATTTGCACAATAGCATTATTTGTGGGTTTATTTCTCATTTGCAGAACTGCCACTTTTTGCTAAATGTCCTTTGGTTTTTGTGTCCAAAGTGAAAGACAAAAAAAAATTTGTGATCCCAATTATCTTTTGAATTCATTATTTTATAAGCTTTTAAGCATGTATTTTTAACCACAGGGAATGATCCAATAGGCAATATGCATTGATGGTTGTCGTATCTTTTTAGAGTCAAAGGCTTTTCATGTGAACTCTTTTCTGCTTTATTAGGATTGGTGCAGATGGTGCCAGATGCTACCACACTAGCGAAGATCCACAGGGAGTCTGGTCTGATAGGACCATTGAAAGAAAACACAATTAATAAATGGTTCAGTCATCACCATCCTCTGGAATCAAGTTACCAAGAGGTAACATCACAATGAACCTTATTGTACATTTAATGTTCTACCATGGGGAAGAAAACCAAAAAATAAACAATTGGCTGGAAGCAGCAAAAACAAATGGTTCAGACACAAGACAAGCAAGTGAAGTGCATAGAGGCCAGGGAAATGTCTTAAATGCCACTCGCTTTCAAAGGAGGTATTTCTCTAGATCAAGTGCATTGTAATACGTTTTCTACAAAAGTGTGTCATTTGAAATTTAGTAGTAAAATGAAGAGAAGCTGAAGTAGAAATTAAGTCTTGAACTCAAAGACAGTTATTTTTTAGTTCAGCTCTCTAAATCCTTATATATATATACACATATATATATATATATACCTTCCAAAGTCTTGTTGGACCATGTTAATACCCACTGTTTTAGAAAGCTGTTTTATCAAAACTGCCTAGTCATATGATACATAAGATCACACTTTTCATATCACATTGTGGGATCGCATGTAGTGCATCTGATTTTGTTAAACTAGACATTATGTACGAGTCAAAAAAATGGAAATTTTATTTATAGAATCAGAGGCTTCCCAAGGAACTCTATTTATTCTATGTTGTCTGAGCATGTTCTGAGGCCCACTAAAAAACTTTTAAAGTCTGTGTTGCTGGGACACTTTTTAGAACTCTACTCTTTGTCTGCAGTAGATTAATAGCCATAATTTTAAATTTATTGAGAAGCTTTGAGTGTTTACCACTCTGGAAATGACAGATTATTAGTAGACGTATGGCATAAGTATGTTTGATAAACTTAATAATTTTCTAATTATTCCATAGGTGTTTGCTCATCAACATTCTCAGTAAGACCACTCAAATTCCTAGCATATCATCATGATTCAATTAAACAGGAACAATCTATATAGAGTTATTTTTACAAGTTTTTATATTTGTAGTCTTACTGTAGAAGTACAGCCAACATTTCAATTTAAAAGTGTAATATGATTAGTTATTGATTGAAAACCTGGTTTCTTGCTGCTGTTGCTGTTTTCAGAAAGTACCATTCATGTGGAATATTCTAAAAGTAATCTCTATCCAATTTTCATTCCATTTTTTAAACATATAAAATACAGTCAGATCCGATTGCATATGGCATGCATAAAATTATTACTCTCCATTCACCTTGCATTCATTGGTGAACCTACGTTTTTTTTTTACTCTTTAATAATTTTTTACTCAAACAATACTGTTTCAAAGGTGCTCAAAAAACTCATGCAGAATAAGCTTTAATATCCTCATTTTACAGTTGGGTGGACAAAGTCACAGAAAGCTCAGGTGTTTTAACCATGGTCATTGAAGTGGGTAAGTAGTACAGTTAGACATAAAATTCAGGCAACTCTTGTGTTGTGGCCTAAGTCCTCCACAGAGCTGTCACCTGTATCAGCCAGTGCAGATGGCACCCTGCATCTACAGGGAAATCCTCAATGTCCATAGAATTATTTACCTTGGTTTCATCCAAATACATAAAGATTACAAATTAGTATTGTTTATAAATGAATCACATTGGGATTGAGGTTCATGGGAGATTAAGACTTTTGAATAAGATCTTGCAATTCTTAAACTGTAGCAGGTAGGATTGAAAAAAAGACAAAAGCTCTTCGTTATGCTCTGGGGTAATACAGTGATCATCATTTGAACCAGGAATAACTCTCTTCTGGGAGAGGACACTGAATTTGTGGGTTGGGAAAGAGATTGGATAGGTCCCTCTACTACAAGTCACAGTTGTTAAATACTTTACACTGAAGTTAGCAGAAAACTTGAAATCCACCTGTCAGTGTCTGGTGAGATCATTAGCTTGGACATTTTTCTGCATCTGCTATGGGCACATTTTTGGCAAAGAGCAATGCCACAGATACTGTAAAGAGACTAATAAAATAGATTTGAATGAGCCAGTCTGCTTACACAAAACAGACTAACCATGACAGCACATACCTCCACCACATAAAACAGCATCAGAGGAGTAGGTTATATTAAATATGACTACTAGACTGGTTTTTGCTTTAATCACTCTCTTGGGTCTCTCTGCATGACACAGGTTTGATCCCATAGTTTTTTCAGATTCACAGATGCTATGAGCCAAAAAAAAACCAAAACAATTTGGCCTTTCATTGTGAGTTCATTTCTGTAAAATAAGGTTTAAGTCTTTGGGCTGAAATATTGTGAAACTTCATTGATTAGGACTTGAGAAAGGCAATTGAATTCTGTGGAAAAAAGACCCATAGAGGTACAGCACAGTGGAGTGGGTGTAAAAAAACACCTTCCTTTACAAAGCAACTGGTTAAATTTGTGGATTTCCAACTAATTTCCAAACAATTGTTTTTACAATGTACGTGCAGGCTATGGAACAGAAGGTGTCAGCTTTCTGCCATGAAGCTTGCTTTTCTTAGATAGGTTTCACCTAAGGAGTTTTCCATAAAATTCCAAGTATCTGTAAAACACGAGGTGAAAACCTTCTTGCATTGTAACTTTGAAATTTGTGCATTACTTGTTAGACCACCATTCCTACAAGCACCTGTCTGTTAAAATTTTAGCAACATGCATAGCATTTGTTGAACTACTATTTTTGTTTTTCTTGTTAGCATCACAAACAAATATGTCTCTGTAGATTTCCAGTAAATGCTTCTGTTTTACCACCTAGGCAATAAGGAATTTCTTTTATTCCTGTGCTGGCTGGTGTGTTGTTACCTTCATTCTGGGAGTCTGTGATCGACACAGTGACAACATAATGCTGACTAATACTGGACACATGTTCCACATAGATTTTGGAAGATTTTTAGGTCATGCACAAACATTTGGAAGCATAAGGAGGTTAGTATCTATAGCAACACACATACTGAACTTTAAAGCAATGTTCTGAAATTTCACAGTCTTAGCAGCACCCTTGAAAAAAATACAAGTGAGATCATGCTTTTTTTCCTTTCTGAATTTTCCCAAAACAGCATGTTTTCATTGTTCACAAAACCTCTAAAAAATACAGGAATGATTGGACAATTAATTAAAATTATATGTTGGAGATGCCCTTTAAGTCTAAAGAAAAATAAAACCTAAAGCCTTCTTTGATCAGAGATTTGAATGATGCAATTCTGCAGTAACCAGAACATTAGGTTGGTCTATGCTAAAAGAATTCTGATGTCCACTGTTTTTTCTCTAACAGAGTAGCATTCCTATAATGGATCCAAAAAACAGATATATCTAATTGACCAATTTCTTCACATATTCAGAAAAGAAACAACATTTTCCAAATAAACATGGAAAATAATTATAATATGCCGCTGTCAGTAAAATTGCCAAGTTTTTCATTATATTTGGAAGTTTTACATCTATACACACTGACCTCAGGGGCTGTTTTGCCAATGTCTGATTTCACCTAAACAAGGCTGTGATTTTTCTGTATTTGTATCTATCTGTGATGTAACTATACCATGATAAAGGTAAGTAAAATAGTGTGATCATGCTTTATGGTTCTTAATATAACATACTGTGGAGGAAATGATTGGGATGGAATAACAATACATAGGATAATGCCAGTATGTGCAAAACACAAAGAAGCTGTTATAGCAGAGTAGAGAATGGATATGTGATCCCTAGTACTGGCAGGATGGGAAGGGGGGGTGTGAGTGTGGGTGGGTGTCTTTCCTCCATGTTTCCTAATAATTTCCGGAACTTGTCCCAGAATCAAATTTCAATTAATTGTTCCTTTTTTTTTTCCTTTTTTTTTTTTTTTTTTTTAGTCCTTTTCACTAATCTAGACTATCTCAGCGTGTCAGACAGAAAAAATTGTGTGGGAGTATTGATATGAGGAAAGCTAAGAAGTAGTTCCAAGCTAGGCAGTTAAAACATTTAGTTGCAATGCTCAGAACTATCATCAATCATTCAGGATATGCTCCCTTAATCCTACTTATTTGCTGTGGAAAGAATAAAGCAGAACAAAGTCATAAAAAAGATACTCATGCACACTCTCAGTCAAGTGCTGCATCCCTCACTTCAGCAAACCTCCTTTTCAAGCCTGACAAGAATTTTCTTGAGCAGCAATTTTACATGAGAAAAGCATTATCTAGTTTGAACAACAGGAGGAAGTTAGTATAGGAGGCAGGGACATAACCACTACATTTAAACAGAATTGTGTTTGCTATTGTGTAATAGCAATAATAAAACTAGATGTTAATTTTATTGTTTTCAAACTCAGTCATACTTCATCTTCTTATAAAGTCTAAGAAAGCCACTTAAAACATAGTTACTTCCATAAAAAGCAGCCATTTTTTCCTCTTTCTTCATGCAGTATATTGCTTTTAACCTATAAAATACAGTAATACCTTTTATGACTCCCACTCATGAAGTGCCCTCATGGTTCCTTAGTAAAACTAGAACTCACGCTTAACAGTAGGTCTTGAACATCATTGGACAGTAGTTGTCTTCCTCATGCCTACATGAAACTGAGCAGATACAATATTAATGACTGTAGTTTTCATTATCTGTATTCATGAAATGTAACATATTTGTAACACCGGGATAACACATTTCCACATCTCATAAATTTCAGGCTCTCTCAGAATTTGAAACCCTCAGTGCCATTTTTATGTCCTCATTCCCACAAGGCAAGTCTTGATGTAGGTTGAACCTTTGGCATGTTTTAACCGCTCTATATTAGATTTTTATTTGAGTTCTTTGCATCCCCAACAGTATCACACCCCTAAAGTAATACTGACAAAATAGCACCACAATGCTTTCAGATTTTTAGAGTTATTAGTGGAATCTATGCAGATGAATGAAGGCTTATAGAAAAGCAGTCCCTGTCTGAACTGTTTAAAATAGTAACTCCTATCAGAATTTAGGAAGATAACTTGCTTTCCACAACTGTCCATTTCCTGTTCTTAGGAAGTGCTTTTTGTCATTAGCAGACTCTTATTCCTCACAAATCTTCATGAGGATAAGTCCTTTCCAGTATTCTGCATATGGAGCATTTCTTCTGATGTAAATAAAGTGAAAGGCATACATGACAGCTTTGAGAATCACACGCTGTCAGGCATGGGCTGCAGTTCTTTCTATCAAATCCAATATGAATCTTCAGAGAATCCTTTGAAGCTCTTATGATTCATGCTGTCATGCTTACTTTTGCATTCATGATCGTATAACACCCCAACAAGGGATTAGGTAACTTTTCTAATTCCTGCCCTCATCTTTAAATGGTGTCCAATAAAACTGCTCAATTTTGAGTTCAAGGCACAAATCAGTAGCTCAGTTATTATTTATTTCAGAGAGAAGAGGAATCAGGAACTTTGTCTTTTCCAGTTCCATGTACATTCACAGTGCAGCAAATATGTTAAATAATACCAATAATGTGTCTTTATTTGGATCAAGGAGCTAATGTTTCAGAAGTGTTGGAAAGAGACATATGATGTATCTAACCAATAGCATAGTAAAAGAGCTTGGCAGAAGATTTATTCCCCAAACCCTCAGGGAACTTTTATCTTTTTTTTTTTTTTTTTAAATCATACTGTAGGACACATTTTGTTAGTGAGAATAAAATACTCCTTTTATTCTATAATCCATCTGCTGCATTTGACCCTACATTACCCTAAAGCAATGAATTCTGCAGGTACACTTCAAGCTGTATGAAGAAACATTTCTCACCTAATTACATATTACCATCCTATTCTTTATCTACTGAGTATTCTGTGGCAATCATCTTGGACCCCCTCTGACTGAAATAGGTCTAATATTATCCAGGTAATCATATGTGACCAGGCCAATCATCAAAGGGTACAGAAGGTGTCAGGCTTCTGGTTGAACCTGCTGTGCTCTCTTTGCTTTTGTTTTCTTCTTCTCAGTTCTGACTGATTCCTTTTGAACATTTCTTCTTTGGTGATTTAAACAGTAGGAGATTTATTTAAATCTCAGTGCTAACTGAACTAATCCTAACTTCAGCAGTTTCATCCTTTCCACTACGAGTCACTTCCAGCAGTGGTGTCTACACTTTTTCAGTCAATGATGTGTATTCTGAAACCTGGTGGCAAGATATGGAGTAATCTAGCTCACAGTACACTGTATTTTCACCTTTTAATAACTTATATGTCCTCTTTTAAAATAAACAAATAAATAAATAAATATCCAGTAATCCTAATTCTTTACAACACTCAGTGGCCTTCTTTTCCCTGATCTGAATCACAGAGACCTTCTTGTGCCTTTGCCAAACTAATCCCACATCTTGGTGTGGTTTTCCCAGAAGTTAAATCTGCTAAGCTGGCTTTCTTCTACAAAGTTAATTACTAGAGGCAGCCTAAGTATTCCACTGGGAAATTACTGGGTTTTTTGAAAGAAGTTTCAAAAATAAGGGAAAATTAAGTTTCCCACACTTTGTTCCTAAGTCAATGTTTTCCAATACTAAAAAGCACTTAAGAAAGTCTGAGCATGTAGAAATGTGGAACTGCCTCTTTTTATTTTAAAAGTAACACATCTCAGTTTTAGTGTTACTAACATAAAATGAGTGTGACTGTCTCACTGGAAGTGTTAGTTTGAAAAACAACAACAAGAACAACAACATTATTTTCAGATATTTCTTTCTGAAATTGAAAAGTTGGCATACAATCAGGTGAAAATAAGTTGTGTTTACATATTTTTTACTATATTGTATCTACATGTGTTACGTAATTGGAAAAAGTAGGGAAAAAAGAAGATAGGAATTTGAAAATTTAACATTTTACTTTTTTTTTCCCTTTTAAAAAATTTGATTACGGTACTTACCAAACAGAGTCTAAAACTTGAAAGAACTTCAGGTATAACTTCATTTTCTAAACTTGTACATGGAGACTGTTGGACTACCCTGTATTATCTGCTGAAAGATTCATTAGGAATTTTCAGCATGTGTATTTATGAATTCATTTTCTGCAGTTTGATTTTATTTTTCTGGTGCAATCAGTCTAGAATTATTCATTTATGTGAACCAGTAACTCCTAATTCTTTGTCACCATTCTCTTCCAGCACTTCCTGTATGCTACCCTCCAAAAATCTCTGAGGGAAATCCAGGAAATATTAAATTCATTACTTAGAGCATATTAGTAGCCCAAATAATCTTAACAAGATTATACAGATGTTTAAAGATAGTCATACACATAAGTCTCTGCATAAAGACTGAAAGGTGAAATATGCATAAAGACTTAAAAGTGAAAGTGAGTCACCTCTAAGGTGACATGGCCTAAAAGGGCTTGAACTTACAAGGCAAGAAGTCCATAATTTCTGAAAGTCAGGTGTTTATAATTGTCCAAATTCAACACCAAAAGCAGAAGTCCAATCCAAAAACATATGAGCAGCACAAGTTGCAGCTGTGAATTTCAGATGCTCTTCTGTTACATTTGTCTGCCTTGAAGAGCAGGTGGTTTTTGTTGCTGTTTTGATGCTTTCTCTAATTATAAAACCTGCATAGTAATTTGCCCTTTACCGTTGGTTATTTATTTTCAGTAATAGCCTCTTGTGGAGGGCATTCAGCTAGCGCTGTTTTAAATCAGAATAACTTATGTTCACTGTCCACTTTGTATTTTTAATTTTTTTGGTTACTCTCTTCAAAATACCCAGAGAGCTAAGGGAGGCACTGTTTTTCCCATTCAGGGGCTGTATGCTTTTGTCCCTATCCAGTTTTGTTCATCCAAGTGCATTGTTGTTCTGCTGAACTGAGTTCCCTCGAACCCAGTTCTCATGTGCCACAACTCTTAGTTTCTTTCTTGGCTCCTCATTCAGTTCAAGCATGGCATAAACTGCTTTGTTGTCTTCAGAAACAGCTGCTTTCTTGGAAAAGTCAATGTATTCTTATTAAC